CCATCCTGCCCCTGTGGGGCTCAAGAACAAACAGCGTGCTATCTGCCCTGTTTATCATTTCAATGGTAGGTGGATTCACTTGATGTCTTGGGATGATGATGATGATGCTGTGATAGGGACTACATCACTTACCCAACATCTAATTTATTGTTTTTGTCTCTGAATCCATATGCCAGAAGAAGGTGCACAAATCAGTATATCATACTGATTTTATACACACATTTTATTCTCATTTACCTTAAAAACCCCTTCACATTTGATCCTAGAACAAAAAAAGGGAGAGTCAACTGATAGAACAAGCAAGGATACAAATTCCTTCCCTTTATCCTATGTTGTAATGCTGCCCTGAAACTTCAGTATTGTGGTGGAATACTTTCTGCATACTAGAGAAATACTTCTCTTACAGCCATGACAGAATAAGACCATCAGATTGAGATCTTATCTGCAGTACAGAGTGTTGTCAAGGCAAGTTACACGGACAATCAAAAACCGGTATAATTATATCACATGTGCATGTTCACACAATGCTCCTTCTGTTGGTGCTCTAGCATCAACAGTGAGAGCAGTGCACTATGGGTAGCTTTTACTGTGTTACCACCTTCTGTTGCTAGGAGTTATGGGAAGGCGGAATGGATTGCATTGCATCGCATCATGGGTGTGGGCCCAGTGTCCCATCCTGCATTTTTTTCTGTCCCATCATTCCATGGGCTTCTGACTGCATTTCTCGGCATTTTTTAACAACCTGTTTACTGTGCGCCTGCTATCTCTGTCTGAAAGAATGGAGCCTGCACTGCTCTCTACTCTTATGGTCACTGTTATGAACACATCATGGGTTGGTTGTGCAGTATATCATGAGCACCCAATCTGAACAAGAATCAGAGTTGCCTGACCTGCTGTGTACCAGGGAAAGAAACAACACCAGATTACTTTTGGCATTCATGGAGTAGCTGCACACAATGGACCATCACTTTTGGGTTTGGGCAAACAAGCACTCAGTGGTGGGATCGCATTGTTATGAAGGTCTAGGATGACGAGCAGTGGCTGCAGAACTTTCTGATGTGCAAAGCCACCTTCCTGGAACTTTGCGCTGAGCTCACCACAGCACTGCAGTGCAAGGACACCAAAAGAAGAGCTGCCCTCTTGGAAGAGAAGCACGTGGTGATCGCTGCATGGAAGCTGGTAACCAGGGCCGGCTCTAGGCACCAGCAAACCAAGTACGTGCTTGGGGTGGCACATTTTCAGGGACAGCATTCCGGCCATCTTTTTTTTCCCTTTGGGCGGCAAAAGCTTAGAGCCGGCATCGTGCGT